TTTTCCAAGGGCCTAATACATGTCAGGTACCAATTTGACTATTCATAAGAGTGTAACTATTAGGCAAATGACTGCAACCAATGAAACAACTGTTACATGAGGTACAAAATGCACTTTTTTATTATTAATCATTGTATTCATTTACATTTCAAATGATATCCCCCTCCCCCATTATGCCTCCATAATTCCCCCACCCCATCCCCCTTTCATTTGCCTCTATGAAGGTTCTCTTCCACCCACTCCCACCTCACCCCTCTAGCATCCCTCTATGCTAGGGTATCAAATCTCCCTCCTTTCCCATTAATGTCAGACAAGGCCATCCCCTGCTTCATATGTATCTGGAGTCATGGCTCCCTCCATGTATAATTTTTGGTTGGCAGTTTAGTCCCTGGGGCTGGAGAGATGGCTCAGCGCTTAACACTGGCGGCTCTTCCAAAGGTCCTGAGTTCAATTCTTAGCCACCACATGGTGGCTCACAACCATTTGTAATGGCATCTGATGCCCTCTTCTGGCATGTAGATATACAGGAAGACGAAATGCACTCTTGGAGCTCTTGAAACTGGTGGCCACTGCCAGGTATATCTTTGCGTGAAAAGTTTGCCTGTGCCACTGCTTTTTAATACACTGTACACTGAAGACTAATCTTGTCTCCCTCACCAAATACAGTGGCACTCAGTAGATATTTTCTTGTTACGCAGGTTATCCTTAGGATAGCACACATGTGACTTCCTCTACAACAGTGATTCTCAACCTTCCTATTGTTGTGACTCTTCAGTACAGTTCCTTGTGTTGTGGTGACCCACAACCATAAAATTATTTTCATTACTACTTCATAACTGTAATTTTTCTACTGCTCTGAATTGTAATGTAAATGTCTTAGGTGACCCCTGTAGTAAATGGGCTTTTGACTCCTCAGGGGGATATTGACCCACAGGTTGAGAACCTCTGCTCTAAAATGTAACCTGAAAGTCATTTTAGAAGTAGCACTGTCGTACTGAGGACAGAAAAGAAATAAGTCTGGCAAGGGATGGGAGGCAGGCTTGGTGCTGAGGGGCACTGGCTGCTCTTCCATAGGACCAGATTCAGTTGCCAGCATCCACTCTGTGAATAACAATGATCTGTAACTCCAGTTCCAACGTATCCAATGCCTTCTCTGACCCTTCAGCGATGCATGTACATACATGTAAGTGAATACTCACACACATAAAACAAAATAAATCTTTTTTAAAAAATATGCATAAAATAAAGTTTAAATGTGCTATTTTCTCGTCTCCAAGTAATAAGTTAGTGTATTTTTTCTGATATTTTTCTCTGCATATTTGACAAATTACTATACACAATTTTGCATTGTACATTTTTCAACTCCATGAAGACCATGTTGTTAAATAGACTCTAATATTAACTTAATGACTGTTTAACATTTTGTCACAAGGATTTATAATTTAAATATTACATGATTACTGAACAATCAGTTGTATAGTGATTTACAATTATACATGAGTGATCAGCCAAGTTAGTATAATCGGTACATAAATCTTTATTACTGGCTATTTTGCTACAGAATATATATTGGTAAGTAGATGCAAATAGAGAAAACTTCTTGAAGATATATGAAGAAAAATAAAGTAATATTTCAGTTGAAGCATTAGAAAATACTGAATAATTGTTAGCTATAGTCTTCTTTGAACTTTAATACACAGAAGGAAAAATCACTTGCTTTTATGGATACTCATTTCCCCACTTGACCTTAAGCCTGCATGTCGGCATTTGTAAATAAATATCCATTGAAGAGAATGCTGAAATTTAACAGGATAGTGCCATACTATAGATGAGATATAGAAATAAATTTGTCCATGATTTCTTATATAAACACATCATCAAAACTTCTAAAGTGTTTTAAAAGCCTCTCAGGAAGCCTTCCTCTATAAGCAAACCCACACAATAAATAGTTTTGAAGCATGTCCCAATTAGCCATCATTGTCTTCAAACTGAGTCACTTTAAAGATCAATGCACCACATCTCTCTGGACTTGAGCAGCTCACAGGCTCAGCCAATCCATCCTAATATTTTCTCACACACATGCCTACAGATGCAGGAGGCCATTGAGGGCTGCCTCCGTTGTGTCTGGTGCCTGGGCTAGACTGTACTAGGAGTTCTGGGAACAAGTTAAATGTTTCTTCCTATTCATGCCTCTGTCAAAATGGTTGTAGAGTTCCTTACAGAATGGTAGCTTCAGTATAATTTGACTTCAAAACTGCCTATTAGCCTAAACTCTAACAATTATTTCAGAAGCATGGATGAATATCAAAAGCTTCTAATGAGTTCTCCTCATGAACGGAACAGTGTTTGACATTTTTACTGTTATGTATAGAGTCCAATGGTCATGGGCCATCTCAGCTTCAAAGTGGGGAAGGAGTAGACTCCGCTGTTCAATGAAAGAATGAATTGCATTAACAGAAAGGGAAGGGGACGATGCCAGTCACTCTATGCATGGATTCCACCTGCTGTTTATTGGGCACCTGTTTCTACTGAATACTTCATATTTCACTTGCACTTTTCTTTTACACACAGTTTCTCTTTCCTTCCTTCATTGGAAACTCTTTTCCATATTAATAGTTAAAGGAAGGTCTGTATTCCCATTGCTACTTTCCAAAATCAGATTTTCTATCAGATCCGTACTTACAGCTCACCTAGGCTATCCATTACTACAAGGACTGTGGCAAGTAATTTCCTTTCATTAAAATAGATGCTCACAGTTACAGTGCCTAGCACAAAACAAAATATGCTGCCTGAATAATTATCAACTTGATAGTCTGTTTGAAATTCAAGATCACCTCTCTAAAATAGTAAACCAATAATAGTAAAGTAATAATTAATGTCTAGGAAGCATATAACGTGTCACCTTAATGTGTTATAAAGTAGATAGAGTATGGTATCTATTGGCACCATTGTAGTAATCAAATAGCGATCATAATTTTGGCATAATTATATTGTTCTTACAGATGTTTCCCTATACTCCTGTCCACAGTTTAACACCTTCCTACACACCTTCAACATCTTCATCTCTTCGCTTTCCCAAACTATGCCACATTAATGGTTTCAACATAGATATTGGTGTGCTTTAACATAGGCATACACAGTCCTGGGTTTATCCACCCTAATAATCATATTCTGCACTTTATGCCTGAACATCAATTTTCCACACAAAACTATCCCACCTACACACACACACACACACACGCACTCACACAGATCCAAATTCTTCCAGTTGCCCTTCACAACACAAACTCTTTGATGTCCTTTCTTTAATAGTCCAGTTTCCCATCTGTGCTGTTCTAAGCCATTAACACCTTCCTGACTTCTGAGTCCCACAGTAACTCGCGTTTTCTACATCTTTGGTGACAATCAGTGTGGCTTACCCAAACTTCAACCTATCCTTCTGACTTCTTTCCTAGACCTGGTTCTGGCTGTTCAAAATGGGCTTATTTGTTCAATTTCTCCTTCACGATGACACGATCTAGCTAAACATGAGAAAACATTGTGATTATCTGTATTTTCTCTTGTTTCCCTTTCATCATGTATCTATTCAAAGCCTTTCCTGATGCTCTCCTGTTTCCAAGCTCACATTCACATACACACACCCTCCATTTGGAGGCTCAGTGAAGATACAATGATTACCTTCTAGCACAAGCTCTGGGTTTCTTTCCTTGTTATTTCCAAGTCACTCTGTGTTTCATTATTTCATCATTCCTTCCATCACTTCACTTTGACGAAAACTGCCACTTCTCAAGGCTTTGCACTGCTCCTTTGTTCACAGCCCAACTCTATTCCCTTTCACGATAGAGTAGTCTCTAACTTTCAGTCCTCAGCTCTCAGCAAACCTGCTCTGTGAAAAATTCTCACATATTATCTCTTTAAAACGTCATTTGTGTGGCAAGGTTTTAAAGTGCTCTAGCTCACCGCTCCTTTCTTTAGTTTGGAGATATCTTGATTATCAAATCCAGAAAATAATTTTCCACATACATATCAACTCATAGATTAGTGAAATACTTCCAGGTATATATTCTTTATGCAATATAGAAACAATTCTACAACTTGCATAGTCCACATTATTGAACATGAGTATAACAAGAAAACTGCTGTTTCCTTTAATCAATAAAATGTAAGTAGGCGTATATTTTAATACCCTTAACATTGACTTTTAGTCATAATTAACTAATGAGACATTTCCCCATGAAATCGTATTCTGGTTATTTCTTGAAACAAAATCTACTCAGAGGTTATTGACTTCTGCATCTACCAGTTGTCTCTGTTCTGTACTATCCCTTAAAGATAAAAAATCTAAAACTCTGTAAGTAACTACCACTCGGCTTCATCACCCTCCCTAAAGCAACATAATCCCAGTCTCCTTTGAATTCACACAAAGCACTACGCATACTTCAATTTTGGCAGATATCCTTACTTTCTTCACAGCACCAATATTTCATAATTCTCTGCATCCTCTTGGCCAAAATGTGAATTGTTCAAGGGAACACATTACATGGCTTGCACACTTGTAAGGTTTCTGAGCTAGAACGTTAACTCCATCCACCTATAGCCCTTTATTATAAATGGTATTGTGTCTGTTCCTGAAGCATTGCCTGCCTGTTGCTGCCTCTGCCTGTTAGTTGTGAATGATTTTAACAACCACGATTCATATTGATTTTCGTATCTTTGTGTCTGCTTCTGATTACTTTTCCTTTTTCTATAAAATATAATGCTAATTGAAAGTTACATCCAGGCACAAGTGTCAGAAAAAAGTATAATACATAATTAAGTTACTTTACAGAAATTCTAGAAAATAACTTGTATCCCACAACTTTCTGCTGTTAATTTTCATTACTAAGTATGTATTTTGTTAAGACTATCACATCATCTGCTGAGATCCACATTGGTCATATGATGTCTTGTGGCTGCTTATGATGCTCTGCACTTAGCTTTATCCACTGTTTTGTCTGTAGGTCCCCCGGGGCCACCTGGAGTGGTCATAGTGGAGGAGATTACAGAAAGCACAGCCACCCTCTCATGGAGTCCAGCCACTGACAACCACAGCCCCATCTCTTCCTACAACCTTCAGGCTCGCAGCCCCTTCTCCCTGGGCTGGCAAACAGTGAGGACAGGTAAGAGGTCCACAGACAAACACAAAACCAGCACCTTGGAGCAGCAGGTGCATTTACTTTAAAGCTCACTCAAAATCATTTGTCAACTGTAGAAATTCATTATTCTTTAGAACATTGAGCTCCACTGTGCCTTCTAAATGTAAGTTCCCTTCCTCTCTTCTGTTCACAGTTTACAAAAAAAAAGCCAAATTATGTCTTTGTTTGTGAATTGAACTAACTTTCAGATTCACAAATAAGAGGCGAAAATGACATTATGCACAAAATCCCTGTGGAGCTACTCCCTAGCTTCCCTCAATTATCACATTGTATATGACTCGAGAACAGTTATCAGACCAGAAATGGGACATTGAGCAGTGCTCTCGGGTAAGCTCCAGGGCTCCTTGGGAATTCATCAGTTTGATATACAGTTGTTTTCAGGATGCATCTCTAGTGAATATTTTGCATTCTAATATATAAACACATATACACAGAAAAAGATTAGGAGATAGAACTTCCCACATCTCAGAAACTTCTGCTGTGTCTTTATAAATCCATGTCAGTTTTATTTATAAAATAAAAATCTAACATGACTGTGTGTCTTAAAACAGTGGATCATCTTAATGCATGCTTTTAACAGGCCTTCTGTTTTAATTTTATTATTTTAATTATTTTCATCACTAGTAATTTCCTTTGAATGTAATAAATCTAACTCTCCCCAAGCTTTGTAATGTTACTGAAATTGTGGCAATGATATGGGATGTCACACTACCCAGTGGCTACTACGTACATATTTGGCATCATATTCAAATAAACTCTAAGACCAGAAGAAAAGTTTTCAGAAGCAATTCTCCGCAGAGTGGGGATGAGTGTTTCTGCTGTATTTCAGAGTTAATTTACCTGCTTAGAAGGAAAATATGAAAATCAAGCTAGGCATGATGGTAGAACCCTACAATCTCAGCCCTTGAGAAGAAGAGGCAAGAGACCTGCCACATATTTCAATCCAGCCTAGGCTACATAAGAAGCTTGGAGCCAAATGGGTTACATAACAAAATCCAATCAAACAAGAGCAAATAAGTACATGTGAAATTCATCAAGATGATGTATGAATTCATTAAGAATGAAACTAAAATTCCATGTTGTAGGTATGGAGTGGGCTATGGTGTCTACATAAGTGAAACTTTAGCACAAATTTAGCTTCACTCCGATTACAATTATGTTGAGAGAAAATATACTTTCTCCTACAGGACACAATTCAAATCTTACTTAATACTAGGTTGCTACGTGAACTTAGACATCACTATGGTTATCATTATCATGTCCTATGTGTATACACACATTTCTCAGAAATATTTAAAGCACTCACCTCATTCTGGGTTCCACTATAACTGTATAGGATAGTTGTAACCCCCAAGAAAGGAGAAAAATGATCTGGGTTGTTAGACATGGGAAGAACACAAATTCAAATCTCATAAGCAAATTGATTGATAAGCATGGGGTCCCAATGGAGGAGTTAGAGAAAGAACTGAAGGAGTTGAAGGAGTTTGCAACCCCATAGGAAGAACAACAATATCAACCAACCAGACTCAGAACTCCCAGGGACTAAACCACCAACCAAAGAGTACACATCGAAGGACTCATGACTAAAGCCGCATATGTAGCAGAGGCCTTGTTGGGCATCAGTGGGAGGAGAGGACCTTGGCCCTGGGAAAGCTCCATGCCCCAGTGTAGGGGAATGCCAGGTCGAGGAGGCAGGAGTGGGTGAATAGGTAGGAAGCACCCTCATAGAAGCACGGGGAGGGAGACGGGATAGAAGGTTTCTGGAGGGGAAACTGGGAAAGGAGATAACATTTGAAATGTAAATAAAGAAAATATTCAATTAAAAAAAGGAATTCTTGTCCACTCTTCCTCAGTTTTCAACCTGAATTTTACTGTAACTCCTCAAAGGCTTTGCTTTGAAGCTATGACATAGAATCAACTGTGAATCTGTAGTATTCTCACACACACACCATTCCTCCTGCCACTGCATGTCACACAGACTGCTCAGCTTACTTCTGGGAGAGACGCTTAAGAGTACACGTATGTTTCCTGAGTCACTCAATGATTTCCTAACCCATTTTGTCTTATAGTCTGCCTAGTACAGCCGTGAGTTCATGTTCCTTAGTTAACCCTATTCTCTCATTCCTGCCTGTCATTTTGTTATTGTTCTCTTGATGCATCAGTTTCTACAGGAGGTGGGGAAGACTAGGAGGAAAAATTATTTTGTGTCAGTTAATAATTCTCTACTAGAAAGCTATTTCCTTATCTTTCTAAAATAATTTTAATGCTGGAGATACATTTAAGTTATAGCTATGATTTAATTTTCTTCATGCAAGTACTTACTTTTTAAAACCAAGATTATGTTTTATTTGTAAAGAAATATATTTTTCAAAATTATAGTACTTATTCATTTTTTCTACTCTTCATAGAGTGAAGGTTCTTGCAAATTGATTCTTCATCTGATTCCCTTGTCCAAAACTCAGAATTCATTGAAATAGTGGTGAAGGCACACCATCCTCTGGACAGGTGAACAGGAGTCCTCGAGTCCTTGGTGATCCAAAGAAGCTGTTGTTAATGCTTCTTAGCCTTAGCCCTGTGCCTAATCTAACCATAATTTTAATGTCTGTAATGGGAAAAAAAGGTCCCTATCTGTGCAGCACCTCTATGGACAGTTTCTTGTTTTTGGAAATTGTTCTCATAATCTAAAATAATTCAAGTAAATAATCTCTAATCCTGACATATATATTAGAAAAAAAAAACATGAGTATGCAGTTTAAAATTTTTGATGAGTCAATATAACTTATAAGATATTTGGAAAAAACTAACATTCTTTTATGTACCAAAATGAAAGTGAATTCCTTACTATTTGTAAATCAAAACAAAAGTTTGAGCATGGGCCTTCTAACTGAGCACATCTTAGAACGGACTTACAAATTGACATTGTAGAATTGACTTATAAATTCTTTTGCCTACAAGGGAAATCCAAAATTAAATAAGGGTAATCTGTATATTTGTAGGAAATTATGAAACAATCTTTGAGAGAGGGAAACAATTTCATCTTTGGGTCTCTTTTTCAATTAAGCAACTAATTGCTCCTTAAAAATGTGATGCTCTTCATGCTACTGAAAATTCTTAAGTGACCTGGGTTGTTTTTGTGTGTATATTTAAGATTATCAAATCACCATGACCAGAGACATCACTGATCTTTCTTTAACTCCAAGATGTCTCTGAAACATTCATCAGTGGTCTCTATTGTCTGTCTATGAATATGTTTTCCATGAGCCAATTGATTGATTAAATTCTGCAATTTGACTAGCTTGTCAAGTATTTTATTAAATTCTTAGATGTGATAATTTTACTAGAAAACCTATTCCAATGGGATTCCCCTCTTATTCAACACGTACTTCTTGGCTGTCTTTAAACACTACTATTATTTTCTCTGTGGTTCATGTATTTTCCTTGAAAGCAATCTGTATCCATGGCTCAAGCAACAATATCTTTATGAAAAGATGCCAGTAAAACTATTAAGTATTCTCACCTGGAAAAAAAAATCATTATTCTTCAATATTGAAAACCAAAATTCTTGACATGATAAAGACAAATTTGTTTGCTTGTTTGTTGAAACTATGTTTTAACTAATGTTTTGAAAGTATATCCCTTATAAAAAAACAATAAAATTAGAATTATCTAATCAATTATGTTATAAATTGGTATAAAAGTTATGCTTAAAATACTAAAACATGAGGCTGGTTAGATGGCACAATGGCACTTGCTTTGTAAGCTTGGAGACCTGAGTTCAAATGCTCAGCACCTACGTGGAACCTGGTTGCACATGCCTGTAATTACAGAATTGAGGGATGGAGATAAGTGGATCCTGAGAGCTCAAATCTTAGACCTGACCAAGTGGTGAGATCCCAGTTCATTGAAGTGCCTCGTCTCAAAGCAGTAAGGCACTGAATGGTAGAGGAAGACAGTTCACATCTTACTCTTGTTGCTACAAGAATGGAGTACATGCACAGGCACACTCATATGCACCCACTGGTAAACACACACACCAGAGAATATACGAATTCTAAGAAAATAAATATAAACCAGAGAATAATATTAAAGGCCAGCAATGGAATACTCTAGTTGCAAAAGCACATGGCAAAGATGAACCAGGGAAAAGAGGAATAATCCGTGATATAAAAATGCAGTCAAATACAGTTCTTTAATGACAAACAGAAAGTGTACCAAGGAAGAGAGAGAGCAGGTGAGCATGCTTGTGGTACTCATGTTCACTTAGGACTGAAATCTATCATTGGTTTTAAACATATGAAGGTCAGTGCCAACCTGGAGAATTACAGATTCAATGTGGGGAAGCTTGTATGGTCTGATAAGCAGTCAAGAGAGAATGGGACACAATTATACAGACAACTCCTAAGAGGTTTCAGGTTCTGACTGAATCAAAGCATAGTATAAAAATCACTCCGAGAAGAAATCCAAGCTTGGATTTCTTACATGCTATCATTTCTAATTAAGATACATTCCTAATTTGTTGTTGTGGGCAGGAGACAAAATATAATTGTAAGAACTGGAAAAGTCTTTTGAAATCTCCCTAGAAACAGAAGAAAAACTGTTTGTAGTGTGAATTAGCCTTTTCTAGGGCTGAAGATGAGGAAATGAGTCTTAGCATATGTAGATAACGTTCTTTGGTAGCCAGAGGAGAAGAATCCAATGGCTTGCAAACAACTTAAGCATATATGGTGCTCAATTCCTGAAAGTTCATTTTATCTTAGTAGTGATACTGGAGATACATAACCATGTACTACAAGAAAGTAGGATCATACAATCTCATACAATGAGGAAGTAGTGACATCACCGACCAACACATAATTATAGTATTTCTCCAGCCTCCTCATGGCATGAAATGTGCTTCTTCTCTGTAGTCCCAGAAGTCATCACAGGAGACATGGAGTCAGCGATGGCTGTGGACCTTAGTCCCTGGGTAGAATATGAATTCCGAGTGGTGGCCAGCAATCCCATTGGGACAGGGGATCCAAGCATTCCATCTCGAATGATCCGCACAAACGAGGCAGGTAAGAGCCGTGGCATGAAACTCCTGTTCCATACATTTCTCATCACTCTGAAAGCAAGCTGAATTCATGACTATTGCTTCGTGGCTTGCCTAATGCATTTTCCTAGTATCCTAAAATTACATCCTTTAAAATAATTGTTTTGTTTTCCTTCTTTTCAGTCCTTTTTTTTCCACTTCTTCCATAAGCAAGCATTTACGAAATCTTCAGTTTTCTTCCAGCCTTGAATCATATTTAAGTTCTCATGAAGCAGAGAAAATTAATCTGTTCTTCTAAGAGAATCCATAAACTTCAGTAGATCAACTCACTGTCTTATTTTACAATGATTGTTCTTGCCTTTGAGTATAGCATACTTTCTTTAGGCTCCTTTCTGTCACATTTACCACTTAGCATAACCTGTACAACTTACACTTTGAAAAGACAGAGTCCTTGCTTGACAGGGTGCCTTCAGAAAGACTGGTTTATGAACCACCCATCTGCTTCATAGATTAAGAAAACAAAGGGTTCTTCCTAGTCTTCCAGAATAAGTATGCCTAATTGAAGTGCTACTATAATTACCATATAAAGGAAACTAACAGCTTTTATTATAAACCTAATCAGGATACCTTGCTATCATCCAGCAGGAACTGACAGAAGAAGGTATTATTAATAGAATCTAATGTTTTGTTGTTTTTATGGTTCCAGAGAGTCTCAGAGCCCAAACTGGACTTGAACTTTGTATATAGCCAAAAATAACCTTGAATTCCTTCCAAGGACCCAGTTTTATGATCTACCCCCTCATTCGCCTGTAAAATCCTATATTAACTTCATAAAGACATATAAAATTTCAGAAATATTATGTATTTTAAAAATGGTAATTCTACTCTTCCTCATCTGATCTCATCATATTGTATACACATATTATCAAACAGATGTATAACAAAATACAAAAATAAACCATATGTTTAGAAAATACCAAACACACTTTTAAAAGGAAATGAAAATAAAATATTTGTCATGGACAGTATAACCATAACAGAGAAATAGGGACAGGAAAGGTTTCAGATATGAGGGGAAATAAACAAATTTTAATATTTTATCCTCAGTCATTATGCATGAGTCTAGACAAGGAGAACACTGACACCAAGATGTCTATTTTCTCTATAGTCCTGTATTTGAAATGTAAAATGATGTCAGAGGCTAGCATTCAACATATTTCTTTTTTATTAATGTATTTATGTTTATATATGTATTTTTATGTGTGTTACATATTATATTTGTTGAGATTTTTTGACACAGCATTCTTCTAGGCTGACCTGGAACTTGGTATACATCCTGCCCTAAAATCTATAAATCTCCTGCCTTAGCCTCCCTAACACAGGAATCATAAGCATGCCCCACTATGCCTGGGCATATTATCTTTTAGGAGGTCATTTAAAAGAAAAGAAGGAAGGAAGGAAGGAAGGAAGGAAGGAAGGAAGGAAGGAAGAAAGGAAGGAAGGAAGAAAAGAAGAAGAGAGGGAAGTAAAGGAGGCAGGCAGCGAGGTTGGATGGAAGGGAGGAAGGAAGACGTAACTATACAATAAATGCTCTGTATTATTTCCATAGAAATACAGCAATTTAGAAAATATAAAATTAAAACACTGTAAATATGATGCAAAAAGTTACCCACAGAAAACTCAATCTTTCTGCTTTGTAACTTACTTCTTTTGATGTTTTCTCTTCTCTGCTTTAAATTGTGTGAACTTCAAAGTGAATATTAATTGCTTGGTTAGATTTTCATACATCCATAAAATCAGCCATGTTTTCATTGTGTCCAGGTGTTCATTAAGCAAAACCATAACAAGTTAGTCATTCTTCATTTCATATGCTCACTGTGCGGAACCAAAATGATAGCTGACAGTAATACAGGCATGCATTTTCTAAGAACACTGCCTTACTCTACATACTGCTAATTGTGTTTAATCAAAGACAAGGTTAGTGTATAATTTAGGAGACTATCTATAAATACATATTTTAAATATAAACCATCCATTTGGGATGAGTAACCCTTCTAAACTCCTTAACTATAAATCTACTTGAGCTATCAAAAAATTGTTAGCAAATCACCATTGCATTTTAATGTTCTTGATTTAAAATCATGTTCAAGTGATGCATTTCCAAGACCTCGTCGAGATTTAGAGCTACCTCACTCATGAACTGCTGTCTCTACATTTTACCCTGACTATCTGCATATATGACATACTTTATTCCATTAAAGTCTTACAGACGAAGAAAGTAATGGTCTTTAAAGTACATGAAGAGCTTGCCTCTTACAATGAAGTGGGGAAAGTGAGCTTTTTTGCCCACTTTATCCTGCTTGTACTTGAATGTCAAATTCAGCTTGAGCTCCTAATGGCATAGAAGCAAGTGTTGAGTTTTACAGCTGTTTCCTCAGGCAGCAAAGATTAAAAGAGACACCAATATCCTGAGCCAACAGTCTCCAGTGACGAGCCCTGCCTCCATTAAATACCTATTTATATTAAAAATGAAACTGTTCTAATGGGCCAAGTAAACTTTGAAAATAGACAGCTATGAGGGAGGAAAAACAGGCCTGAACATTAGGATGTTGAGATTACGAGTGATTATGCCTCCGTAAATTTCTCTTCACACAAAATCTAAATTTCAAAAAAAAAAACTTGAATGAAACATCTCTGTTAAAAGTACCCTTTCCCATAAAAATGAACAAAAGAAAGAAAGAAAGAAAGAAAGAAAGAAAGAAAGAAAGAAAGAAAGAAAGAAAGATTTAAATTTTTAATTTTCCTGTAGAATATATGTTGATATTTCTGGTCATCAAAACACTTTTGATAGTCTTTAAAGATAATATAATTAGCTGGATAGGGTATGCTGGCACCAAAGTATGTTATGTACTTGTATCAAGGGGTCCACATAAGACTCAGTACTTTGTAATGAATATACACCAATAAAAATTTTATACCAAAATTGTGTAAATTAATTCAGTCCAACTTCTTGGCAGAAGGAGGTCAAACTAGTATAGTAAATGTCTATTTTTACTTTGGTGTGCATTTATATTTATGGAGCAATTTCAATTTTCTTACAAGTTTTAATTAGATTATACAGAAAGAGAGAAAGATATAAATAGATAACATGTTTAATTAATGAAATGTGCTACTCTCTCAAACTAACATGTAAATTTGGAACATAAGAGTGTGAGTGTTTTGTTATTTTAAAGATGTCACAAGAGAGATGACTATGGATTAGGAAATGCATCTTTAAAATATGAGATGGTTGAACCAGAAAAACACAATGAATACAATAGTAGCAGCTGTTTCTCTTCTTGAACCTCAACATTCTGCAAGTTAGAACATATTAGAAACCTCCAAAGAGGGAATAGATGGGGGTGGAGTAGCTAACCAGGTAACATGTCCTAACACACAGTGACATATTTGTGATGTTTGTTGAATTAAGTGAATCTAGATTTTAATTAATGTTCTGTTGTGTCATTCACTAACATGTTCAACACAGGCAAGGCTGCCTAAGTCTTTCGTATACTAATTTATCAAATGAGAAAAAATACCAAACTCTATTCTTCTGTTGCTGTGGCAAACACTATGACAAAAAGCAACTTAGCAGGGACAGAAGGTTTTCTTTGGCTTCCTGTTCTAGGTCACAATCTGTCATTGGGAAAGTCTTGACTGTGACTTGAAGCAGAAACCAGGGAGGAATGCTGCCTGTCAGCTTGTTCCTAGGCTCACTCACATTCTGATTCTTGGCTAACTTAGGCATTCCTGGACCAGAATCAGTAGATGGCACCAACCCAGATGGGCTAGACAATCCTACAACAATTAATATCAAATCAATACCACACAAAGATGTCTATACACCAGTCTGATCTAGGCAATGTTTCAGTTGAGGTTCCTCTGTCAGATCACTGAAAACTGTGTCACACTGATAATTAGAGCTAGCTGGAACAGACTATTTGACCATAAGAGACTACATACATATGGATATTAATATCTATGCTACTATTACTATCATCACTATCTGAGTTATTATGCTACAAAATGGGAAATTAAGCCATTGTGGTCATGCAACATTCTACTTTTATACTGAGGGTGTTTTCATCTAAATGTATGTGGGCTCAGCATCTCCCCTGAAAGCCCACTTATGACCCTCACATACAACCATTAGAGTCTTCTTACCTAGTACTGAGTGTATAAGGGGAAGTTGATATTATTCCACAAAGAAACATTTTTCCTCTGGTTTTTGAGGCAAAAGAAGACTAAATTAGCAGAGAAAAGCCAAGTATTGAATGAAAACTATGTATCAAATTGTTTATTCCAGAAATAGCTCTATAGTTGCCTAGCATGTTGAATTCTGTCCACCATTATTTCTTGACTCTGAAATGGAAAATATGACACAAGTCTTTCTGGACACACAAAAAAGTATATTATCTGTGCATTTAAGAGATCAATGCTCTTGCAGCTAGGAGTATCAAATGCATGTGCAGATGAAAGCCTTTCCCAGATGCATACTGCCTGAATTGTATTATCGTCATGCACCTGTGCACAGAGTAGACAAGATGACTTGTAGAACTCAAAGCAGAACATCTTCCTTCGACTCTCACTCCTTAATACACTCTGCTAGCTTGCTTCACACAAACCTATTTCACTCCCCACAACTGGAAATTCTCTACAAATCTTACTCATAGTCCAGACTTTCAGTTTTGTCTTATGTCTCATGGAATTTAACTAAGGCTGTCTGTGTGACCATGAATCTGTCACTGTCTGTTTGAGTTTTTTGTGTTCAGCAGTTGGTATATTACTGTCTTCTACCAGAATATATCTATATACATGGATGAAATGGTCAAGATGTATTAATGAAAAACACACATGCACACACACACCCACACATGCACACGCACACACACACGCACACACATTCTGATCTGTTGCTTCAGTCCCAACTATTTTGGTGTCAGTATTGGGTTCTAAGGAAGTCTCATTTTCAGATATATAAAGTTT